GGAACAAGGTAGTTTGTTCTTTATTATTGTTAAATTAATGGTTTTGCATTATTTGCTTCCAATATCTACTTGATAAACTTATATATACATCACAGATATTCTCATCTTTATCTTTTCTCTTCTTCCAGTTTCCAGTATTTATATTTTTCTTCGTGGCATAATTTTAATTTCTCCTTTCTGATATAGATCCTTTTCTTTAATTCTTTTTTTTTCTTTCTTATTGGCGTGAATTCTTTTAATTATTTGTTGATTTAATTTTCCTTATCTTGGGGGACAAGGTCATAGGATTGATTGTTGATTTTTATTATTGTTGTTGTTCTTGTGATTATTTTTTAGTTGTAAATTGTTGATTTATAATTAAACTAAATATGTGGTAAGGTCATTAATGGTTTTGCTGATGGTATTAACCCATTGTGGTTGGTATGTTATAAAGCAGTCTTTCCTTCTGTCGTCTCATTCCTCTCATGTTGATCTTCCCTAGATCGTTTTTCCTAAAGTGCCGTAAGGGTTCAAGTTATTCAATATGTGTCATTTCGCACATTTCCATGGTTTTTCTGCAGTTCGTGGTGCCCGTTTCTTGTTCAAGAGGAATGGGCTTGTTTTTAGGCAATTTATGGGTAGTCTGGTAATGTGATCGTCAGATTCTACCCTTTTAATCTCCGTTGGTTTCAGTAATTAATTGCACGCTAGATTCTAAGAGCGTGGGAAATTTCTTATGAAATGAAATGCCAGATACCGCTGTCCTTATTACAACAAGTTCTTAAGGATTAATTGTCAATAGAATTTTTTTGCGTAATAAAATCAAAATGTGATGATGCAAATTATTACCAATTATACAAAAGTCTATTCTGTTTCAGAATTTATTTACCAAACAATATTAATTCTATTTTTATCAAATAGCTTTATTATAAATACTCGCGTTATAATATTATGGATAAATTTTTCCTATGCCTTTGCCTTCCCTTTAAAATAATTATAATTTTCACTAGTGGATTTTCCATTTATAAATAAAAATGGCTGGAAAAAATTTTGGTTCAATAGCATTTTTAATACTTTTTTATGTAGTTCTTCTAAATTATCAACCTACAAATTCTTATAATATTACCACATATAATGATAGTGAAGCTGGTCTTCGTGTA